AGTTAGTAAGTCCCGCTAAACATTTACGTCAAGTAGAGAGAGGTTTGCGTAAACAGCATGTGAGAGAGCATTAACTCGGGACTGCAAAACTTTATATCTACTCTGCTGCCATGAATGTAATGATAGATGATCAGGAACAATTCTAAAGTGACTAATAGACATTGGATTAACCTTAAGAAGCGTTTTTATTCCCTTGAACACGAGCTTTGATCACAAAACAGCAACGGTAAGACATAATTATTGTTATGGTTTTGAAAACTGTTGTTTTTTCTCTTCTCTGTTCTGGTTGATATCTCAATGAGTTTGTGTCCTACAGTGATGATAGTTATAACAAAAATAATCTGTGGAGTATCAGCTTTCAGATGATATGTAGTTTGTGCAGAAAATATTAAGTTTTAAAGGTCGTTTTTGCTAGTTAGCACCGGAAGTAGCATCTGCCCGTTTTAGCTAAGGGCTAATGCTAACGCTTCTTGTGAAACTTGTGTTTTGTTTCGGTAAAAATGGTTCATATAGTCAGTTAGCTGAGATTATTCTCGTTAATCTGGTATAACACATTAATAGGTTTTTAAATATTAAGATGCCCTGAGACACAGTGTCGTGAAAAAAAAACCTAGGGTCCCCGCCGGCGGGGACCTTCGGGCTTAACAGGTTAAATAAAAAAAACAGCCATAAACCTCAGGTTCTTTTTAATGTCCTCAACTCTATTATTAATCCCTGTGATGTTTCTTCTATTATGCCAGTGGTTCTCAAACTTTTTTCAATATGTACCCCCTTTGAAAAAAAAATTCAGCCGCAAAAAAATTGTTAGGGAAAAAATGCCTATATAAAGAGGTACAGTGCAGCGCTGCACCATCAGTGTCTGATTTATTAAAACAACAACCTTGTTAAACAGCATTAACATATGCATAATGCTATACTTTGAAGTCTAACCGGACGCGAGAGAGAGATCAGATCAGCTGCTGCTGACGGAGAACACGCAGCCCTGCATGATCACAGCTCCCCCACTGTGACGGACCGTTGAGTGAAATACACTTAGAGTTAGACCTAACACACTTAGCTAGTTTATCTACTCTGGAACGAGCTAAACTAGTTATACATATATGTATTCTTTACTGTCGGGTCACTTATTACAGGTTCAGCGAGCTGCACGAGACTGACGGGCTGTCAGGAGAGGGAGAGGAAAAGAGAGCACCCCGTTTATTGTTCCCATTTTATTATCCAGAGTTTCTGTAAACCTTTGAATAAAGTAGTTAATCTACTATTAGTAGTTTGTTTAAATGCATTAATTACGTTTCTTTTTTCATTAACATAAAATAAATCTCACGTACCCCCTGCAGTACCCAAACGTACCCCTAGGGGTCCACGTACCCCCATTTGAGAACCACTGTATTATGCCATCACCTACTCTCTGTGATAAGTTTCTTACATTTTTTATTGAAAAAGTATCTGCACTTACCCCTAGATTCCACCGGGTCCGTCTGCGTCGCGTTACGGCCGCGTTACAGCTGCGCCGCGGCATTCGCAAAGATCACGGCCACTCAAGTCAATGGGTGCTATTCCACCAGACGCGCCGTGTTACGGCTCAGAAGCGTCCCAGAAGCGTCTCGGCGATGGGCTCCGCTCAAAATAGGATTCAAGTCTATTTTCCGACGTGACGCGAGGCGTTGCAGAGCGGCCGGGCAGGAAGTGGACCGGTCAGAGCATCCAGTCAATCCCCAAAATAAACTAATTTTGCAGACCCTATCCCTCCCTAGTCTTTCAAGTAGGAGGAGAAATGCCAGCGTTCTTCTCTGGTTTACAGGCATTGTGTAAATTATATATATAGACTAATTATGACGATGAATGCATTTTTTTACCACTAAAATACAGCAGCACATTTTTGATTCATGTCATTTATAACTGGAATATTACAATTATTATTAACGTTGTCTGCACAAAGTAGCCTGTCCAGGAAATATGCCCAAACCAACAAAAACTGCCAGCCGGCAGGCAAGACGCTCCACTTCTGAAATGCTTCTGAAACGCGCCCGGTAGGGTATGACGCCGGAGGAGGCCGGACCAAAACAGTGGCGCAGCCGTGACGCAGACGGACCCGGTGGAATCGAGGGGTTAGGCTAGCCCACACTAGTGCTACCCCAGATCCTACTCCTTTTCTGTGCCCTGCTGTCCTCGACCACTTTGAGCCTGTATCCCTCTCTTCTCTCTCGGATATATTCAAGCACCTGCGGCCGACAAACTGCTCCTCAGACAGCATTCCCTCTCGCTTTCTCAGAGATGTTTTCGAATCAGTTGGAGCAAGTATTTTATTACTAATAAACACCTCTCTTAGCTCAGGATGTGTCCCAGCTGCCTTCAAACATGCCGTGGTCCAGCCACTACTTAAAAAGAAAAATCTCGACCCCTCCATTCTCGCACATTTTAGGCCCATCTCCCAGCTACCTTTTTTATCTAAAGCCCTGGAGCGAGTAGTCTATGTCCAGCTGCAGTCTTTCTTAACCACACATGGCATCCATGAACAGTTTCAGTCTGGCTTCAAACCCATGCACAGCACTGAAACAGCCCTTTTAAGAGTTTTTAAGGATCTGCTCCTAGCCGCCGACTCAGGTAGCCCAGCTGTCCTGGTGCTGTTAGACCTGACAGCTGCCTTTGACACTTTGGACCATAGCATCCTGTTGTCACGGCTTGAACAGTCCGCTGGCATCACAGGCTCTGCCCTTGCATGGTTCAGGTCCTACCTGACAGACCGTAGCTTCTCAGTGCAGCTAGGTGCCTTCTCCTCTGCTAAAGCCCCTCTTACCTGTGGGGTTCCCCAAGGCTCTATCCTGGGCCCCATCCTCTTTTTACTGTACATACTGCCCCTAGGTTCAATTCTCACAAAACACAACATCCCCTTCCACTGCTACGCCGACGATGTACAGATCTATCTGCCTCTCAAAGCACATGTCAAACACTCACTACAGCAGTTGATGTACTGCTTGATAGAGATAAAATCCTGGCTGAGCAAAAACTTCCTCAACGAGAGCAAGACTGAGGTCATCTTTTTTGGACCCCAACCTCCAGCCTCTCCGGTTGATATTCTGCGCTCCCTCAATGAAAACATCCTCCCCTCTGTCATCAACCTTGGAGTGACCTACACTAGCACTTTTAAATTAGACAAGCACGTCAGCACCGTAGTCAAATCCTGCTTTTTTTAAATAAGACTATTGGCTAAGACCAAGTCGTTTTTATCTTTTAAAGACCTAGAAAGGGTTATTAATGCCTTTGTAACCACAAGGCTGGATTACTGCAACGCTCTATACGTGGGTATGGACCAGGCGTCAATTAGACGCCTCCAGCTAGTCCAAAACGCAGCTGCACGTCTGCGAGGGGGACCCAAGTTCCCATCAGCAAAAACACGTGGGTTTGCTATCCTGATGGTGGAATGAGCTCCCCATTGCCTGCACATTTTCCGGCGCAGACTGAAAACTCATCTCTTTCGACTCCACCTCGAGCGATAGAATTACTAACAAAGAACTGCTAACAGAGCACTTATATACTAATAAAGGACTGGTTTATCTATAGCCAGTTGAGTAGCACTTGAAATGTTTGGCTCTATGAAACCTGATGTACTTATATGATTCTGTTTTCTTCAAGGTTGTAAGTTGTAAGTCGCTTTGGATAAAAGCATCAGCTAAATGCAATGTAATGTAATTCTGACTGGCCACAAAAAGCGCGACCACATCACCCCAATTCTGGCCTCACTACACTGGCTTCCAATTCAGTTCCGAATTGATTTTAAACTTCTTTTATTTGTTTTCAAAGCCCTAAATGGGCTGGCTCCTGCCTATATAGCCGAACTCCTCCATCGCTTCACCCCAGCCAGAGCCTTAAGGTCTGCTGACCAGCTGCTGCTGATAGTTCCCTAAGACCAGGCTCAAAACCCGAGGGCACCGAGCCTTCGCAGCAGCTGGCCCTAGGCTCTGGAACACTCTGCCCCTCCATGTGAGGTCAGCCGAGACACTAGGGTTCTTTAAATCCTCACTAAAGACTCACTTCTTCTCCCTGGCCTTCTAGTCAGAGCGGAGCACGACACCTGACTTTTCCCTGTGTTTTTGTTTTTTATATTTCTGTTGTAAATTATTGTCTTTTATTGTGATTGTAGTAAAGTGTTTTTATTACATGTACAGCACTTTGGCTCGACCAAAAATCGCTTTTAAATGTGTTTTTATAAATAAAACTTGATTTGATTTGTTTCAACGACTGCCGTCTCGCCGTTCCCCCGTGTCCCGCCTTCTCTGTCTGTCTGTCTGTCTGTGTCTGTTTCAGTTTCGCCAGCAAGACCGCTGGTAGACCAGCATAAATACCAGCTAAACCAGCATAGCCCAGCATGACATCCATGCTGGGCTATGCTGGTTTAGCTGACCAGCTAAAACCAGTAACCATTTTAAACTGGTCTATGCAGGTTTTTTCAGCAGGGTAATCCCTTCTCTTCGTGCGGCCGGTCTTTTTTCTTCTTCGTGTCGGATTATTTGACAGATAAGAACCACACAACTGCATTAGCGGCCGCTGTCGCCCTCTGTCGGCCGTCAGCGCAACTTCAATTATGACGTTAAACCATTTTTAAAAAAAGAGCAGGCCGACAACGGCCCTTGAGGACCGGCCGTTCTGTGGTTCTCCAGATTCTACAGATGGCCAGTCCGCCCCTGGTGGAGGACCGCACATTTTCCCGTCAAGTTTGTTTTTTATAAATCGCAAAGATTGCGTAGTAACTGGCGTACGCCATCTTTTGAGCGAACGCACCGTTTATAAATGAGGCCCCAGGTCTGTTACAAGCAATGTTTTTTTAATAAGGTGCTTTACTCAAAGTTGTAATAGTTTTGAAGCAACTTGTACGTGTTGTGCAGAGTGTAGAAGTGCTCATAACCAGCCGAGCAACCCGGGGAGCTGGCTATGGACGTTTGTTCACTTTCTTCTAGCTCTTATTGTTCTTTATAACATCTGTTTTTGTGTTTAATCCATAGAGCTGAGTATGGGCGTCCCCCCCCCTCCTGGATGGAACCAGGAGGATCTATTACTCTGTCAGAGTAAGCCTGGTTTTTAACTTTCTTTAATGCTGTATTGAATTGGTGTTTGAGCTACTATTATGTTGCGTTTGTTTTTTAAAGTCTACTGTCCTCTAGTGCTTTTTTATTTTTATTTTCTGTCAATAGTTTTCTTGTGTGCAGATTGTGGGCAATATAACTGACTAAGCGTTTGTGTTCCAGGCTCCTCTCCCTCTGGGGAACCTCGTCTGCTTCCAGCGTAGGGACTGCACCATGTGACACTTTGAAAGGGATGAGGAAACTAACTCTCACTGTGATCATGTTGTAGAAGTTGTGCTTTGAGTAGTTCTCTTTGTGTCCCTCACAGTTAGCAGGCATTGAGACCTAGTGGACCAGAGCTGCCCATCTGAGGAGGGGAAACCCACCATGTCATAGTGTAAAGTATGTTCACCCTGTTACCCGCTGACAGCTGCTGAGCATTGACATGTTAACATGTATATCTGTGAAATAAAGCTGCTTTCTATTGGCTCATGAATGCCTCTGTTATTGTCCTCGTGAAGGGAAGCCCCAACATCTGCAAAACAACTTTGGATTCAGATTGAGGGTCCACAGGTTCCTCCATCCCCTCAGCAGGAGTTGGTGTTGTCAGCTATTTAAAGGGGACCCCAGCCACAGTTACCACATATGCATCAGAGAGGGTGTTTTCACTGTTGGCCTAATATATGATTGGTCAACTGAACTTGGCAACACTAAACACAACCACACCTTAACATGAGCACAGACTGCCTGCTCACCTGGAGATGTCACACTAAACCGTCTCTACATTTTTGACAAGGAGTAAATGATTTGAAATCAAATGTTGGCAGTGCTAAACATTGCCAGACCAAAACAAATGTTCCCTACAATCTGCCCATCACACTAAAGCTTTGTAAACATTTCATTGAGACACCACATTACCTACAATACATTCCAGCTTGTGCAAAATGAAGATGAACATTAGGCAAAACAGAACATAAGCTTGTGTGGATATATCGTATCAAACATCATGTATTCATTTCAGGGAGACTTGTTGCTTTGTGTTTCTTTTCATTCACAACTCATCGTCACTCTGACTTGCTCCTCTGCTGCCCTCCAGTGGCCACAAGGCACAACAGGTACTTTGACATTACAGCATGTAGCTCCAAAGCACACAAGTATTTCCAGTAACACTTTATTTTGATAGTCCATCTGTTGACATTCAGTAGCATGTCAACAGTGCATCAGTTGACATTCAACAGCACCGTTCAAACAGACAAGTAACATGTTTTTTGCAACAGCTTATCAACCGATATTCAACCTACTATCTGTAGATTGTGTCAACATCTTCAAAATGGACAATCAGCTACTCAAAATCAATCTGTCAGTTGAAAGTCAACAGGGTCATGTCGACTATCTGTTGAGAGTCAAGATGTCAACTAAAGGTTACATTAAGCTTTAGTTCACGATCTGTTGATCGTCAACTAGAGTTGACTATCAGCATACTTTTAGTAGGCATTCTCCACTAAGCGTTTGTAGGCATGTGTCAGGACTATCCAATTCAAGTGAAAAACAGTTGAATAGTAGAAAGTCTATAACCTATCAACAGAACACATACATCCACTAATGATATGCAACAGACATGGGAATAAAGCCAAATGTTTTTGCACAACTGATCACGAGCACCGGATAACTGAAGTCAATGCCAGGCTATAAAGCACAGTAGAACAAACACGAGGCAGCACATCAGAGAAATAAGCTTTTTTATTTTAAGAATATACTACAAGTAAAAACACTGAACAGTTCTGAAATGGTCCAAATAAAGTTTGAAACACATTATCTACCAGCTGGTAGTCAATACCAGGCACACGGAAATAAATCACTGCACTGCAGATTTTTACAGTTTAATAACTAAATAAAATAAACAACTAAATTTGACCAACAGAAGAACATTAAATGATTGATCTACCCTGAAGCCAAGGTCAGCCGTTAAAGGTATAATATGTAGGAATTTCCTAAAAAACCAATGTTTCGATATTTAAATATATATATGATCCACTCCAAGTGTGTGATGGTGTCTGTATCTACAGAGACCCTGCCCTCTGCCTGTATTTTCTCTTCTCTTTTTATTTTGCTGTGTTCAGGACGTTTTTGGGCGTCAGGCAGCAAAGAGCCTTTGGGCCCAATGTGTGGGTCTACCCCCAGCCAATTACCAGGGTGGGGGTAGGTCTTTCAGACCTATGCGAACGAAGGCCTCAAAGACACCAGGATGTCTTTTGAGAACTTTGCTGCAGCTCCATGTTTTGAGCGAGAGCTGGAGGCTGCCAGACAGAGGGGGGCAGAGTGGAGAAAGGTTGCAGAGGAGAGAGGGAAGAGGAAGGCAGCTGTGCAGCTGCCAACAGGCCGTCTCTGCAGGTTTTGTCACCAACCCCTGAAGCAGGGTCCCAACAGCCCTCATACCCATGCATACTTCCCAGGGGTTCCAGGGAAGTACATCTCCTGCCCTCCAGAGTCTTCTCCTTATACAATACACAGGGCATGGAGAAGGAGATGACGTGGCGGGAGTTCCAGTAGTCGGACAAATATGATGCTGAAAGGGACGGATGGATTTCAGACAAAAGGAAGACCTAACCAACCCTCACACACACAGATCAAATCCATCTATAACAAAACAATACATTATCTTAGACTAAATTATATTATAATAAATATCATATAGTCAAAAATACAAAGAATATAATATAGTTCAATCCTTTTTTCAGGATAGGATTGTTCTCTCTGTATTGTGTTTTCAGAGTTTTTTTATATATGTGTAGTTTTATTTGAATTATTTCCTATATTTGATGTTTCAGCTGTTTTTGAATAAATGATCTTGAAGGCATCCTTGTGACTGTCTTTACTTGATAGAGGAAGTAATAGTGACAGAAAGAAGAATGAAGCACACTCATATGCTCAATGTAAACATCTCTACAATCAAGTAAATATACAAAAAAATTATATAAACATTATTACTAATATTAAGATATCAGTATTTGTGTTATTATTGCTATATATTAAGGTTAATAACTATTATAAGAAGGAGCAAGGAAAGAATAATTCATTTCTAACTCCAAATATCTGTTTCAACTCTAACTTTAAACGTTTGAAAAGATAGATGTAGTGTTTTGAAACTGTGGGGAATTTAGTTTGGGTCAGGTGGGATTCGAACCGTCGTTCTTTTGAAGAGGCCAATAGAAAGCCTTCTATGGGTATACACGGCTTTCCTTCGCGTGTTTGGTGAACGTGATAACCACTACACTACGGTATATTGAGGAGTGCTATATATATATATACAGTGGCGACTGGTCATTAGGGGCAGGTGGGGAACAGCCCCACCTAGTGTCAGCAGAAAGTATTAAAAGTAATGATTACAAAAAAATGCAAAAAAAAAAATATATATATATATTTTAAGATCATGTTTAATCATCTGATTTGTCTGTTCATTGCTGTTTTAGTCTGTGTTCTTCTAATTAGTGTCTACAGTGTGTGCCTATTGAGCTGTTTAGAGCCATGTGGGACAAAACCCGATCCTGCCCCTCCCTCTCACTGTCTAAGTGAACGGTGACTGTAAAAACTACACTGCGCATGCTCAGAGTATTTTCCTATTTAATGTGTGTGGCAAAAAAATAATGACCATAGGGGCATAGAGCTGCCATCCCCACCATACGTCATCTCACATAATTCAGAGCTGATTGGCTGTAAGTACGTGTGCCGCGAAAAATGTGGTGTGTGAAGAGGAGACGAGAGAGCTGCAGTGACGCGTCCTAAAACCCGGAAGTAAGCTGCGCATGGCTTCCCTCCACAAAAAAGCAATGATATTTCTCCATAGGATTTTAGAAAATAGCTCAAAATAAGATCTGTGGGAAACAAACCTGTTAGATAAATGCACGTTTTGTTCAGCCGGATAATATCCACATGTCTAGCCTACTTTTATAATTTTCGAATCATAAATCTATTGATTAGATTAGATTTATGATAGACTTTTTAAACTACAAGAACATAAGGAGGACTTTTACAAAAAAGTAATAGAGATTTTTGTCCAGAAGGATAGGCAAATGGACTTCATCTTCATGTCAAGGTAAGACTACAATTTTATTGAAAATGGAATCTTACTAAGAGAGAACAATTCAATATTTAAATGATAAAATTACATTTTTTGGGTATCCTTTTGTTGAACTGTCTGTTTAAAATTAATTGAAGCATCAGACAAAAAAAGCTTTTGAAAATAATATTATATTTTGATTTAGGTCAAAATATAATATTTGTAAACCTGAAGAGTCAGAGCCTCAGCAGCCATGAACCTCACTGCAGAAGCTTATAGACATCTAAGTTTTTTGTGCCCCACCACTTTTGTACATATAAAAACGCCACTATTAATATATATATATATATAATATACTCCCTCTCTGAAGAACCAGCACCTTACCGTGGTAGAGAGGTTTGTGTGCCCTGATGAACCTGGGGGCTGTGTTGTCTGGAACCTTGTGTTCCTGGTAGGGTCTCCCATGGCAAATTGGTCTCAGGCAAGGGGCCAGACTAAGATTGGTTCAAAAGACTTCATGAAAGACGACACAAGGAAGTGAGGATACCCGGCCCGGAGGAAGCCCAGGGTCCCCTTCTGGAGCCAGGCCCAGAAGGAGGACTCGTCGGCGAGTGTCTGGTGGCCGGGCTTGCCACGGAGCCCGGCCGGGCCCAGCCCGAAAAGGCAACGTGGGCAACACCTCCGCTTCTCCGTCCCGCGGGCCCACCACCTACGGGAAACAGCGATGGCGTCGGGTGCGCTGCCAGAAGGGTGGCAGTGAAAGCGGAGGGTCTCGACGGACCAGACCCGGGCGACAGAAGCTGGCTTTGGGGACGTGGAACGTCACCTCTCTGGGGGGGAAGGAGCCGGAGCTTGTGCGGGAGGTGGAGCGTTACCAGTTGGATCTGGTTGGGCTCACCTCTACGCACAGCGTCGGCTCTGGAACCTTACTTCTGGATAGGGGTTGGACTCTATTCTTCTCCGGAGTTGCTCAAGGTGTGAGGCGCCGGGCGGGTGTGGGGATACTCACAAGTCCCCGGTTAGGTGCTTCGTTGTTGGAGTTTACCCCAGTGGACGAGAGGGTCGCCTCCCTACGCCTGCGGGTTATGGGGGGGGAAAACTCTGACTGTTGTGTGTGCTTATGCACCCAACAGCAGTTCAGAGTATACGGCCTTCTTGGAGACCCTGGAAAGAGTCCTGTATGGGGCTCCTGAAGGGGACTCTTTAATCTTGCTGGGAGACTTCAACGCACATGTGGGCAATGATGGAGACACTTGGAGGGGCGTGATTGGGAGGAACGGTCCTCCTGATCTGAACCGGAGTGGTGGTTTGTTACTGGACTTCTGTGCTAGTCATGGATTGGCCATAACAAACACCATGTTCGAACATAAGGATGCTCATAAGTGTACGTGGTACCAGAGCACCCTAGGCAGAAGGTCCATGATCGATTTCGTTATCGT